TGACAAATCTTCACCCAAATATTGCTAACTACATGTACCTTAACAAATCTGAAAAATTACATCCTTAAAGGTTCCATTTTTATTTATAAAAGAGTATGGACTTAAACTTCAAAAGAAGAATAAATCCAAACTATTAAAGCTAGCATACCTTCCTTTTTTTTTTTTTTTCAGACAGAGTTTCCAGGTCTCCTGGAGCCCTAGCTAGCTTGGAACTTACTATGTAGAACAGGCTGGCCTCCATCTCACAGCGATCCAAGGGCCTCTGCCTCTCTAGTGTTGGAATTAAAGGTGTGTGTCACCACACCTGGCTTATTTAATAGGTACTAAATGGCAGGTGAAGCTAGATCTACATTAGGTTCAGAGATTCTGGGTAATGACATCTTTAAGATTGGGGATGTAGCTCAGTTGATATAGTCATGCCTAGGGTACAATGAAGCCTTGAGCTTCAGCCCCAGAACCACATAAACTGCATGTAGTGGTACATACCTGTAAGCCTAGTAATTGAGAGATGGAGGTAGGAGGATCAGAATGTCAAGATCATCCTCAACTACATAGTGAACTTGAACTGAGGTCAACCTGGGCCACAAGAGACACTGTCTCAAAAAAACAAAAATACTCAAATAATGCTAAACAGTATTATAAATCTCTTGCCTTTTATAATCCATCCTTGTGTCTTGCTGGTACAGTTGTGAGAGCTGGGAATAATGAGGTAGGATTTATGATTTTTTTTTTATTGCTAACTGAATTTAAAGTAAAAGAAATGTTAAATGTATAATGAATCCATTTCTTCAGCAGGATAAATACAGACATGTGCTTTTGAAATGATAGGCACTTAGTCACTCCTCCCCACTTACCTACTCCCTCAGAAAGTACAGTTGTGAACTTGATGTTAAATTTGAACCATACCAGGTGATATGCACATCCATCATAAAATTCTTGTTTTAGTGAAATCTAGAATTTAGTTGTATCATCACTTTTGGAATGTCAAAACATGCCCCAGTAGGAAAGTGCAGAATACCTAATGATTTGTAGATCCAGAATTCAGTGATTATATTAAAGAAGTGTGGCTGTGTATCAGAGAGAAAGAACTTCAGCAGTATTGCTAGGAAGCATGCTGTTGAGGACAGACTATAAAACAGCCCAGTAACCCTTTCCTCTTGGTGTTATGCCCTTGAGTATTGGAATTAGGCTAGTGCAGTTTCTTGCTTCTCAACTACTTAAAGATGTTAAACACCACATACCATTTCTTCTGTGCTTAGGCTGAGTAAGAGAGTGGTTTACACCTTTGCCAACTAGCATGTGAACATGTGAAGGAGAGTGCCCCTCAGACCCCCGCCCTGTCCTCTGAGAAAAAGCTGCCCTCCACCTGACTCTGGAAATCCCCTCCATTGTTCAAACCCTTTCCTGATATCTGTTTATGATTTCTATGGAAATGGTCTTGGGCAGAAGAGATAGATTGTTCTGCCCCAGGTAAGCTAGCCAATGGCAGTATAGGTAAAGTCTCTGGAAATCAGCCCTAGATCGTTCCAATCCTTTCTTGGTTATTCTGTGTCTAGTTTCTATGGACAGCCCCTGCTTTGTGGTTTTTCTGCTTAAAAGCTCTGCATTTTCATTGCTCAGGGTCACAGTACTGTGTCCCCAACCGGTTGGCTCCAATAAAATGCTCCTTTTTACTGAGACTCAGTGTCCTCGAGTGGTCAATTTAGGGAATTTTACGGACCCCGAACACATGGAAGCAGATCTTTCCCACCAAGACTAGATGAATATCCAGCCATGTCCAATGCCTTGATTGCAGGGTACAGTTAAGCTATACTCAGGGATCTGATCCACCGACACTATGGTTCTAAGTGTGTGTGGTGTTAAGTTCTAAGTTTGTGGTGTTTGACACATAACAATAGAGAGCTTATAAATGGGTATATTAATTTGTTCAGGCCATCATAACAAAGTACACAGACTGAATTTACTTGCTCACACAATTCTGGAAGTTGGAAGTTTAAGATCAAAGTGTCAGAGGTTTGCTCTTCCCGCTGCTTCTCTCTCCCCTTGGCCTACGGATATTCACCCACCATGTCCCTCTGTCTTCACAAAATGTTTCTTGCATGTGTGTCAATGCCCTGGTTTCTTTTTGAATAAACATCAATTATACTGGAGCAGAGCTCACACTTCTGACCCAGTTTTAATTACTTTTTTAAACATCCCATCCTCAACTATAGTTACATTTGGAGTTCTAGGGGTTACGACCTCAGCATATAAATTTTGCATGGAAACATCTCAGTGAATAACAGTTGGCTCTGTAGGCATCTGTAAAAAGGGGGTGGTGGCATGCCTGTGATCCCAGCAATCTGGATGCAGAGGCAGGAGAATTGCCACAAGTTCCAGGCCAGCCATCAAAACAAAAACAAAATTAAAAAAAAACAAAAACAAATCTGTAATTATTTTATCTTTATAGATAAAACCCTGTAAAACTTTCTGTCTATAAAGGCCTTTTGCTTCCTTGTTTTTATTTTAATATAACGTGTATTTCATATTTTACATTATATATCATGCAGTTTAACATTTTTGCATATGCTTATCACTATAGTAGAATTATAAACATTTTAAGCATATGTTTTCCATATTCATCACATAAAACATTTAACACTATTTGCTTAAGATAATGGTATTAAATCTCAGCACTTGGGAGGCAAAGACAGGGGGATTGCTGTGAGATCGAGGCCAGCTTAGTCTAGATAGTGAGTTCCAGGCCAGCTAGGATTGCAGGGGGAGCCTTTTTATTTTTAATTTTGTTTTGTTTGTTTTTAAAAGATGACAGTATTAAATGCACTTTCAAAATTTGATGTAAGCATTTTCTTTACTTTTATACTAAATAAGAATATTTATACATAGTTAAGAGTAGGTACTTATTCAAGATATCAGAGCTTAGCCAGGCATGGTGGCATACACCTTTAGTCCCAGCACTTGGGAGGCAGAGGCAGGCTTGGTTGACATGGGATATTCTAGGCCAGCTAGGGCTACAGGGAGACCTTGTCTCAAAAAGACCAACAATAATGATAATGATAATAATAATAATAATAATATCAGAGCTTGAGGAATTTCCACTGGAAAACATACAGATTTCAGTAATCTAAGGCTAGAATTGCTGTTTGGCAATCCAGGTGCTCTGTTTAGAGCCTGGCCATATAAGGCTGCTACTTCACTAGACAGGAAAGAATGCTATAAAGATCATTATTGTGTTCAGTTGGGAGAAATATGAATGGTAACATATTGCAGCAATGTTAAATTTTCTGAGGTTGATAAGTGTTCGATGATTGTAAGAAAGCACCTTGAATTTTAGGTAATACATACTGAAATTTTAATAGCAAAGTTCTTGGTACTTGTAATTCCCCTCAAACGGTACAAAAATTATATATGAATATGCATACATTTATATTTCTGTAATTTGTATACATGTATATGTATATTCACATGTTCAGTTAGAGAAAGATAAACATAATGAGAAAAACAGCAAAAATGTATAAAGTATCACTGAGTATCTATAAATAGTGTACACACTCTCCTGGTACTATTCCTATTCTTTTAAATTTTCAGTAAGTTTTGTTTATTTCTAAACAAGATGTTAAAAATTTAAGTGTAATGATCTTGTGAATTACTGTTTTAAAATAAATTATTATTTAAGTTTCTCTGAGTTTAAATATTGAATAGAATAAATGTTCGTAAGACCAGTCCACATGGGCACAAACTCTTTAGGGTCAGTCCTTGATAATTCTTAATAGTAGAAGCATTCTGAGAACATAAACAGAGAACCATTGATACATACTGTGGGGGTCTTAGAGAGGTGACACCCTTATTCTCTTGTCTTTTTTTGTAACATAAATGGGAGCTGTATTGATAGATCTCACTTGTAATCTTCTAATCTAGGGCAAGCCACTTACAAGTTCTCACCATTTCGAATATGTGAAATTGTTGTAGGAGTAATGCCTATTCAGAGGGCAGCTGTGTGATTTAACCAATACATTCTCTGTAAAGGCTTTTAGCAAGTGACTGCTCTACAGTGCTGTCCTTACAGGCAACATCTGCTATTGTCACTCTGTCACTTATTTTGTGTTTGGAAATCAGTTTTGGTCATAATTATATGCCTCTAAACATCACAAGGAAACCAAAGAAGAGTATCAAGACAGTTAAGAATGCAGATTCGTTGTGGTTTATGCCTCTGTAAAAAACTGTGAAGCATAAAAAGATAGAGGTGAGCAGGCAAACAGGTGTTTTGGAAGTGTTAGGAAGAACAGCTTCACCTAAGAATTTGGACCAGTAATGATATCCAGAACAGTTGACTGGATAGGAAACACCCCCGAGGGGTGACTGTAATCACCTCTCAGAGCCTTGGTGGAATTTGCATTTCTGTTTTAAGCTATGCCTCCTACATGTACATGCCTATATTGCTCAATTTCAGGTGCAATCAATTCCTGTAATCCTAGCACAGGAAAGGCTGAGATAGGGGGATCATAAGTTCAAAGCCAGTCTGGACTATGTAGTGAAACCCTGTCACAAAATCCAACTCAACAAAAACTCCCCCTCAAACCAAACAAAACAAAATACAATGGTATTTACCTAAAGTAATGATAAGGAAGAATATTTTTGCTTTATGCCACTTCTACCAGGTCCAGCAACTCAAATCTAAATTCTGCTGTTTTATATTTCAATCCTACATTGAGCCAATAAAAATACAGAACATTACCTTATTGAATTATATGGTTTTCACCAAAACGCAACTTCAAATAGTCACTGTTTTTAAGAGATCAAAGGATAAATAAGAACAGAGGCGTCTGTCATTTCGTGTGCTGCTTGTTATGTATTAGTCATTTTGACGTTACTGTAATTTGTTTTTTCCTCTTTTTAAAACAGATCACCAGAAATTGGAAAGGGAAGCTAGAATCTGCCGTCTTTTGAAGCACCCCAACATTGGTGAGGAAATATTTACAGAGCACCTTAAAATGCCATTTGAACATGTTATGTACTGCATTGTACCATGATAAAAATGCTAATTTTAATAACTAGAATATTTACAATTACTAAGAAACAGATTCTAACCTTTTGATCTTGGTTACATTTGATTTTCATAAAGTTTTCATAAGTATATTTATGCAGTCAACTTTTTTAATAGTCTTTTAAACAAGATTTAAAAATAAGAAAATACTTCAATAAATGATTAATCAGTTTGTGAAAATTAATACAGTAATTAAATAAATCATGTATGCTTCCTCTTGTATGGAAAAATTGATTGTACAGCAGTTAGTGAACATACTTAGTGTAATTTAAAGATTGATTAAGATTAGGTAACTCCTGATTATTTTAAGAAATTTGTTTTTTGGTTTTTTTTGTTTGTTTTTTGTTTTTTGTTTTGTTTTGTCTTTTTTGAGACAGGGTCTCTCTGTAGCCCTAGCTGTCCTGGAACTCACTATGTAGACCAGGCTGGCCTTGAGCTCACAGAGATCCATCAGAAGAGGGCATCAGATTCCCTGGAACTCAAGTTACAGATGATTATTATATGACATGTGGGTGCCGGGAACCAAACCTGAGTTCTCTGAAAGAGTAGCCAGTGCTCTTAATTGATGAGCCATCTCTCTAGCCCTTCTTGATTATGTTTTATTCACCTAATTTTAACTATGAATTTTAGGAGTCTCCTAATGCAGTTTCCCTCTAAATCCTCTGAAATAAAATGATAATCCTTTACCTAATTGGGAGAAGAGTTGTAAAGGTAAAAATAAATCAGACATAAAACTATTTTGAAAATTTGTAGATAGCATGTGGTGTATGCCTTTCATCTGAGCACCTCGGAGGCAGACGTAGGCAGATTGCTGTGAGATCAGGCCAACCTGGGATGGTCTACATCGGGAATACCTAGGAGTTGGGGTTAAAAAAGAAAAAATTGTAGCTATATATTTTTCAAGACGTAGCAATTCTATGTAAACTAACACTGGAAAAGACAACATATGTATACATGTATGAAACAAAGAATTAAAAATGGAAAAAAAAACTAATATAATATGCAGTTATAGTTGAATTGCAGTTTTGAGTATGTCTAGTTTGGAATGTTTGGTGGCTACAGGTAAATGAAGGAGAGATAGAAAGTAAGCCTTGAACTTGATCAGCTATGTTTCTTTTCAATCCTCTTATCCTATTGAGGGATCCCAATTTAGACAGCTGGTCAGAGCCACATCATTGTGAAAGGAGAATTGGAGTAAAGACTAAAGGGTAAGGAGCAAGTCCCTCGGCTGTCTGGAGAAAAATGCAATCGCTGTAAATGAAGGGAACAACCAGCTCACAGGAGGGCCTTGAGCAGACCCTGCCCCGTCCCAGTGAATTACACAAAAACCTTTTTTCTAATTGAACAAATATGAGCGATTGAGTTTTTGCTTTATCTTAACTTTTAATTAATGGGTCCCTAAATCATGTAATCTAACAACATTGTATTCACTCGTGTGAAGAACAGTGTTTTAAAACAGAGGTAGTAATCATCAGAAAACCACCAAACAACATGGACTGATTTAGAGAAGAGGAAGCACCTGCGCTAGCTGGAGAGCCCACAGAGCCACACTGGGGAGCAGTGCACCCTACAGCCAGCACTCCCTGTGCCTCAGACTGCACAGTGGGGCAGTGGGGAGCCTGGGTTGCCCCGAAGCTTCTAATGTATCTGCATGGTACCAGACCTTCATTCTCAGTTCTGTTACTTGCTCTTACTTTGTTTTGTTCATTATTTAAAATCTGTTAGGTTTTTAAAACTTCAGGGAAGGAGACAATATTTTGACACTTTTCTCTCAATGAAAATTTGTTAAATTCTTATGTGTGTCTCTCTTGTCAAAGAATCAAGTATTGAGAATTTATAGCTAATAAAATGTTTTTCCCCTAAAGAGAAATATTTTAAATTAACTGAAAATTGAAACTTATTCAACTTCTTTTCCTTTATTTTTCCAGTGCTTTTAAGAACATATTTTTCTGATTATAAAAGTAACATGTACACTGTGAGAATTGTCTCATTCGAAAAAATAGCTTGAGGGTAGAGCTCTTGACTCAACTGTGTTCTGAGATATTCACATTATTGATGAAGTGGAGATCAAGCGAGATAATGTCTCTGTTTCCCAGCCTTGCATCTGGGTGTGTAAACAGGCAAACATCCTGATAATGTCATAAAGATTCTTTCCATGCATGTAATTGATGTAGGGTAATTGGATATCTGGAGGCTGGGTGCGTCTATCAAAAAGAAACAGCCAGATAGTAGTTAAATAAGGAGGTGAAGAAAGATTTCATCTGCAACTGTTACTCTATTGGAAAGAACTGAGCTGCAGCCCCAACCACATACCAATGTCCTACATGACTTACAGGCATTTTCACCTAGACTGGCCTGTGCAGGTCATGGGCAGGGGGTCCAAGTTGAAGCTGTTTATAAAGAGGAACCTGTCTAGAATTCAGTCAAGCAGGGCTCCAGGAGTCTTAGCATTATTTATCTTTCTGTCTGTCTGCTTTTTAAGTTTTTACTTATTTCTTTAATCAATTTCCCCATGTGATACTAATCCAGATTTTCAAGGAACACAGTGTGTGTGTGTGTGTGTGTGTGTGTGTGTGTGTGTGTGTGTGTG